TAGAATAGAATAGAATAGAATAGAATAGAATAGAATAGAATAGAATAACAGAGTTGGAAGGGACCTGCTCAGCCAGGATTTCAGACAAATGGTTGTCCAATCTCTTTTTAAAAACTTCCAGTGTTGAAGCATTCACAACTTCCAGAGGCAGGCACTGATTGATTGTTCTAACTGTCAGGAAATTTCTTCTTAATTCTAGGCTGCTTCTCTCCTTGATTAGTTTCCATCCGTTGCTTCTTGTCCTGCCCTCAGGTGCTTTGGAGAATAGCTTGACTCCCTCTTCTTTGTGGCACCCCTGAGATATTGAAATATCAGGTCACCCCTAGTCCTTCTTTCAGCAACCATTCTTTATATGTTTTAGCCTCCAGTCCCCTAATCATATTTGTTGCTCTTCTCTGCACTCTTTCTAGAGTCTCAACATCTTTAAACACAGGGGTATTTTAGAAGACATTATATTCAAGAAGCATTGTTTTTGAACTGGGAGAAGATGAAAAGACAATATTACTTAAAAATTCCAACATGGATATCAACCATTGAAGCTTTTTCTTATCCAATAATATATAAAAAGGAACAGTTAGATATGGTGAGATATTGAATGAAAAGGGTGAACTTAAATCTATGCAAGCGTTGGAAGAACAAGGTGTAAAAATGAATTGGTTTTCATATTTGCAAATACAATCTAGATTTGATAAAGACTCTAAAGCGGAAGGTATTTATGATAAGTTGACTTATGTAGATAAAATTTTGATGGGTATTGATGAAAAGGTAATTAAAAAACTTTATGGACATCTATCAGAATTTAAATTGGAGGAGGAACAAGTTAAAGAAACGATGATTGCTTGGGGGAAAATTTTTTGGATATGGGATTGATTTAGAAAAATGGCAAAAATTGTGGTCTCAAAATTATAAAATGACAATGTCAACTGCATATAAAGAAAATTTGTATAAGATGTTTTATAAGTGGCCCCTACCCCCAACGAGACTTGCGAGAATGTTTAAGAATAAATTGGATAAATGATGGAAATGTCATCAGATACCTGGTTCATATTACCATATGTGGTGGACATGTTCGGACGCAAAGAAATATTGGACTAAAATCCACACACGGTTGGAAAAAATGATAAAACAACGTATAGACTTTAAACCAGAGATCTTTTTATTGGGAGTCATACCAGACATATATAATAAAGAATTAAAATATTTGATTGTAAATGTTTTAACAGTGGCTAGAATTGCATTTGAGAAGAATTGGAAAATGACAAAATACCTATGCAGGAGGAAGTTACTAAAAAAATTATGGACTGTGCTGAAATGAGTAAACTGACATTTGAAATTAGCGAACAAGAAGACAAGCAATTTTATATGATATGGGATTTGTTTTATCAATGGTTGGATAAAAAGACATGGTAATGTAACAGAATAGATAATTTTGTTATAGAAGCTTAATAGATTGATACAAAATATAATGTAGACGTAATAACGATTGGATGACAGCATAATACAATATTGATGGAATAAATAGCAGGATAATTAATAATTGATAAATAGATAAGCATATGTTAGTTTGACAATGTGAGATTGATATAAATTGTGAACAATGATTATGAAAGAACCGCACAAAAGATTCTAAACCAACTGACACACTGTATGTATAAAATGGAAGATGGTTTTATGGGTTTTTTTAATGTATTGTCTGTATAAGTTTGTCTTAAAATTAAAAATATATATATAAAAAAATAAAGTCTCAACATCTTTTTTTACATCATAGCAACCAAAACTGGATGCAGTGTACCCAGTGTGGTCTCACCAAGGCATTATAAAATGGTATTAACATTTCATGTGATCTTGATTCTATCCCTCTGTTAACGCAGTCAAGAACTGTATTGGCTTTTTCTGGCAACTACAGCACGTTGTTCACTAATATTTAAGTGATTGTCTAGTAGGACTCCAAAATCCCTCTCATAGTTACTACTACTGAGCAAGGTACCACCTATACTGTACCTGTGCATTTAGTTTTTCTTTTCTAAATGTAGAACCTTACTTTTTTCACTATTGAATTTCATTTTGTTATATAGCATCCAATGTTCAGGTCTGCCAAGATCCTTCTGTATCTTAAGCCTATCTTCTGGAGTGTTGGGTATTCCTGCCAGCTTGGTGTTGTCTGCAGATTTGATGAGTTCCCATCTATTCCCTCATCCAAGTTATTGATGAAGAGTTGAAGAGTACTGAGTCTAAAATAGAGCCTTGGGATACCCCATTCAGAGATGGTATTCAGCAGGTTCTGAACAGTTCTGGAGAACCAGCAGCGGAATTTTGAGTAGTTCGGAGAACCAGAAAATCCCACCTCTGACTGGAGATTTTACAGTATCTTTCTCCTGCCACGCCCACCAATCCACACCCACAGAGCCGGTAGTAAAAGAATTTTAATCCTACCACTGACCACATTGCATACGTCCCTTCGTGCAGATGCAGATTTAAAGATATCTGTTGTAGAAACATTATTTTGTGAACTAGTTGGATTGTCAGTTTGACTACTGTAAACCATTACAGGAAAATCGCCTAAAATGTTTGCCATTTATGATCCACTCTGTTAGGAAAATAAAAACTTTCTACCTGAAGTCATAAAATTCTGATAGTTCATTTATTTAATTGTCAGGTTTAATTTTAATACGAATTTTACATGGAATTTCTTTTAAATTCAAGAAACCATCTTAAATTCAAGGGATGATTTTGACACATTCAAAATACTGTTTGCTCTGTTCCTTAAAAAAACACAAACACAAACAAAAAAAAAACCCCAAAACAACATTTCTTGTTTTTCTTCTCAGAGGAAAACATATAAAGAAAATCTTTCTTAAATTTAAAATACTATTTTCCTTGGGTGCTAAGCCATTTAGGCTGTATTGAAAATTTGGTCAATAGTTTGGATCCATCTCTTGGATAATTGAAAGGCTTTGCAGATGACAATTAGATTTGGTTTTTAGGATCTAGGCAAATCCTCAAATCCAGATAATGTCAATGCTTTATTTAGTTCTACAATCAAAGAAAAATATGATATAAATATTTCTTAGTCACTGTACATCATAGTTATGAGTTATTATTGGAACATCTTTAATTAATAGATGGTTTTATTTTCACTAGATATTTTTTCATATAAATAACAAATTGCTTCTCTTTACTTAGGAAGTGAACTTTAAGTTTTTATTCAGTGTTACCTTGACAACTCCCTCATAAATTAACCATGTCCACTTTGTGAAAAAGAAAAATTATTGATTACAAAGAATCTATGGAGCCTACAATTTCTTATTAAAAGGTGAGCTAAACTTCCTGTCATTTTAAAAATGAAAACTTTTTTTTTTAAATAAGCCTTTGGAAATGCAAAGGAGTCCCAAGTGGTGTCGATGTTTCAGAGATAAAGAACAAATTGATGCCAAAAGTTTGTTTTAAATAAAAGCCTGTTGTAAATTTGCTTTGATTAAAGAACCAAGTGTATAGAAATATGTGAAATAATTCATCCTTTTACATGGATCTGATAAATATTGAAAGCTTGTTTTCTACTCACTTTAAAAATAAAATAAATGGATTCTTCTCAAATACATACATTAAGAATGTTTTTAAAATTGCTTGGTTATCCCTAAGAAGAGTCTTGCTATGATTTCCAAACTTCCCCAAACCACAAAAACTTTAACTTTAGACTTAAAAGTTGCCTCCAACTTTTGCAAGTCTTAAAGAACGTTTCTATAAACAAGGGCAAAAAAGGTACGCGTGAAACTTCAGGTGGAATCAGATACCTATGGAAAGTTAGACTGTCTACTATTGACCTCCCCCACTTCCTAAGAGGCCTGTAGGGGCATGCATAAGCACACCAATCGTGCCTACTGTCCCTGTCCTATTGTTTCTTTTTATTTTTCTTATATGTATCCATTTCATGAATTCAAAACTATGTTTATTCTTATACCTGTATCTTGTAAGCGATTGACAAATCAAAGAAATACTAAAAATGCTAAATTTGTGTCACTCCTGGTATTTTGACTTCTGCTGTCTTCATTTCTAACTTTGACCCTGCTGGCTTTATGTGCAACCTAGAGAGAGCTAGAAAAAATGAGGAGAAGGGGTTGCCAAAAGCCTCAAAAAGGTTGTGTTAAGTAATCAGCTGATGCTTTGGAAAGAGTTAAGGAGATGGGAAGAGTGGAGAACGGAAATGACTTGGGAACCAACACTGAAATAGTAACTCGAAAAATTGAGCAAGGTCATCTGATACATTATTATACACAACATAACTGTGGCGAGAATAGCCTTTGCACAGGGATGGAAGAAAGAAAAGATACCATCTGAAGAAGACTTGACACAAAAAAATAATGGATTGTGTGGAACTGGATAAATTCACAGTGGAATTAAGAGGCAAAGATAGGTGGTACCAAGGGGTGGAGGATAGAAATAAGAGCTGATGTTTATGTATAAAAGGAGAGGTATGTATTAATAACAACATGGACACTGTTAAATGTGAATAGAGATTGGTATTTTTGTTTTTAAAAAATTAAATAATTTTAAAAAAAATTAAAAAATGAAATAGTAACTAGAAGTGGGAGCTGTGGAATCTCTGAAGAAGTGGAGGACTGAATAAAATAATCTGACCCTGACATCTGGTCTGATCTAGCATATCAGTTGTCTACTGGGCACAGGCTAAGTGTGGTACTGAATGTAAAGCTCTGTTTTATTAAGGTTTGATTATCCAATATTATCTTTTTCCATGCAGCAGTTTTTTAGATCTTTTTGAGGAGTCTGATCAATCTGGTACATGGGGTAAACTCTTGTCTTCTATCATCATCTTCTTTTAATGACCTCATAATCCTTTGTGGGGTGGAGTCTGGGCAACTGAATGGAGCTTAATATTTACTGGCTGGATGCCTTTCCTGTCACCTAGGAGGAGTTTTATTCAGTGAATAGTCTCATTGTGCCCAGAGAGAGAAATATCTGCCTCTACCTAGGATCAAACTCTCGGCCCTCTGACGGTGAGGTGAGAGCTTCCACCTCTAGGCCACCGCATCACTCAAACCTTGTATGGCGCCTTAAGAAATGCATTTGGCCATCACTTTCCAAGTATTTTGCCAAACTTTTTGATGAGTCACCCTTACTTTTGTGGGAGATCTTTTTGTTTTGTTTTGCTTTGTTGTGTGGGTTTTGAACTTACGTGAATGCTTAATGGGCTTTCTTCTTTTTGCTCTCTGTTGAAAATGGGAGGAAAACTATAGTTTTGTATTTGGCACTTCATTACTAGCTTTAACTGGTTCCAAGTGACTAGAAAAATGGATCTGAGGGATCTGCAGATCAGCTGTGGATTGCCCAATAGTGTATTAATGGTAGGGAAGGAAACTTCATATAATCAGATATTATTGAATCAGGGAACGGGACCCCTACAGCAATAGGTTTTTTTTATGACATTTTCACTGTTTTCTTTGTTTTTAATTCCTATTTTATTTTTTTTATTTTTTAATTGCTATGAGTGACCTTGGATGTCAGAAAGATGAGACACACATATAATAAATTAATGAACGATGAAGAAAAATGCATGCAAAATCTCAAATATTAGACAAGGCCCAAAAAAAAAGAGGAGAGGAGATTTTTTAAAAAAAGAATATGGTTAAAAAAAATTAATGGTTTGGAATAATATGTGAAAACCTTCTGTATTGACCTAGACTGAATTAGGCTAATAGATGCATTTCTGCTCAATATAATAACTTTACTCAGTCGTTTAATTTGACACAGAGCAGTTTAGCCAGTTAGAATCTGTCATTTTACCCACTATCTCCCAAGATTATAATTTGAATGGTTCAAAATAGTGTTTCTCCATGGAAATTAATTTTATCACTTCGCAGTATAAGTTCTGGTTTTAGCTCTGTTCTTCTCTCCCAATGCAATAAAGTGCGAAGCAATGTAAATCATTCAGTGGGAAAGAGACATAATGATAGAGAAGGACAAACCTAATGTGCAGGATGGGTTAGAATGGCATAAATGGGTCTCATGCTGATAGGTTGAATGTAGTGAAAGAGGGGAACCCAAAGTCATTGTAAGATATTTTTTTACCTGTGAAGGGGGAAGGGGGGAACGTTTGGAAACTAGTTGATCAGAGAGGGGGAAAAAAGTCTAGTAATCTCCAGCAGTAGAAAAGGGGGAATATTTTATTTGCAAAGACAGATCAGTTTGCTAAACTTTAAAATGGAAAGCAAAGCACAGCAAGCCACAATGCCCTGAAATAATTCCCTAATGCATGACATGTATCTCTCTCCAAGTTCCATGTTCTGGATGGTCATCCCAGTTTGACTTGGTCATACATATGGAAGTTTAGTATGTCACTTCAGGGGCATTTTTAATTTGATCAGCAAGCAGTGGCATCAGGCGCCCACTTATAGTGATCACTATTATAATTCTCTCAACTACCTTATAGTCCTGTGACATTTCTTTTGGGCATAGACAGCTGCCCATGATGATCAGAATGATGCTGCAACTCTTGCCATGTAAGGAATGAATGAATGAATGAATGAATGAATGAATGAATGAATACATAAGTTTACCTTGTACACATTCTGTTTGGTCCTCTATGAATATATGCATTTGAGAGAAAAGTATTTGCATTTGTTTTCACGTGCCTTTTCATGGGTATTGTAAAAGGTTTTTATAAAAGGTTTTTCCAAGGATGCACACTGTTTTGGTGTAATTTTTCTGTAGGTAGTTTTATGTCTGTCAGGGTGCTACTTTGGTATGGCTGTTGTAGGCTTCCTTGCAATAGTATGCATTTGTGAGTTCTAAAAGTTTGAAATTCCCCCCATGCAATTATAAATGTACAGGTTTCAACACATCAAAGCAATCCAGGTTTTTTCTATATATTTGGCAAGTCCAAAATTAATATTGTCTTCTAAAAATGCTCATGTTGGCTTTTTTTCCCCACCCCTTAAGGAAGAATTTGTAACAGGTTATCTGCCAACAGAGTGGTGCCAAAAAGTCCAATATGGAATCTGGAGACAGGAATTCTTTGCATGCACGCAACCAGTCAGAAGACTAAGAAAGGATCTCTAAGCTTCCAAAAGACACAACTATTTTAATTAATAGACAATAAACTGGATGGGCACCTTGTGGAGTCTTCCTCAAAATGTTTTATCCTCTCTTACTATCTCTTTTCTTTAAGCTAATTTCTTGTACTGTAAGATCAACAAATTTCTTGTACTGTAGGATCAGGTTTTCAGTTAATAAAAAATTCTGTAGTTATAACAGACATGCTAGTAACCATTCTTATTTCAAGGCATAGAAATAGCAAGAGCAGTTTCATTGTAAAAATCTAACCTTATCCATTAGATCTTCACAAAAATTCAGACGGGTGCTTCATTTTAACAAAGCTCCATGTGAAGTACTCCTCTGAAGCTGCTTTGCCAAGCAACACATTATCCCTGGTTTTAGTTGCCAGAAGAGATTCGAGGCAATAAAACACCTATAGTAGATTAGGAGAATAGCTTGGCTCCTTGGCTAACACAGGCCTATTATCCATTGGGTGACTCATTTCAGAATAGAAGGGGGCAGATGGACATCATAGTAGATAAAATGCAGGAACTAATTATTGGCAAGAACAAGTATGTGAATTGTTGTGATGTTTGAATGCCACAGGCTCAAATTATGCTAAAACTAATGCAATGAGGCAGAAGCAGTAGAAATTCCCAAGCAGCTATACAGGTTTACATCAAGCACAGTGATGGATGATGATGTGCTTTTATAAAAACAATAAGAGCATCTATTACGGGGAATCAGGGCAATTGATCAATTTGGCTATTCTCACGGATAGTATTTTTGTTTGCACTCACTATTGACATCTGGCAGGGGGACATGTGGGAGTTATAGAAATGCATTGCTGGAGATAGCATAGCAGGAGAGACAGGCGTCAGAACAGCTAAAGTAACTTTCTATATGAATCAAATGAGGCAGAGAAGCTGCCTATTAAGTGCAATGAATCCCCTAAGTTGTGTGGTCAATATATTTAAAATAATAATAATATAGGAAGAAGAATATCACTGAACTTTCCGATTAAGTCTTTACTGAAAAAGAAAAATTCTATAAAATGGCTGGGGTGGGTGAGGGGTAGCTTCCACCCAACTATTGAATGGTCCGATAATGTGCCTTGATATTCATGGCAACTCCAAACAGATAAAAACAGTGAATTGTCTCAAAGGGAGTTTATAATAGCGGCATCTTACATATGACATTTGAAATATCTGACGCTGGGTAGTTACAGTAGACCTAGGCCAGTACACACATACTTCTTAAGGG